ATGAAGCTTGTTCTGTGGAAACACTTGGATAATTACAAGGCTGGGTCTGCCAGTTGGTATTGGTATAGCTGGTGAAGTACTTGAATGAATGGCAGGGGCTGTTGAGATGGGCCTGAGCAGATCACTGGGGGTTTAAAAACTAGCTTTTTTTCTGAGAATATTGCAGATCAAGGCCCTGCTTTGCTGCTATGTCATCCTTGATTTGTATGTTTTGGGCAGGAGGCTGTAGCTGACCCGTTTGGGAAAAGGAGCATTGGGAGCCTTGCTAGAGTCAGGGTAGCAGAGTGACTCTGGATTCACACCAGTGGTGCTGAAATCCATGCCTGCTCTAATCTGTGTAAGTAGGGTGCTTCCAGAAAGTTCTGGAGAAGGCATAGCAGGACCTTTCCAGCTGGACTCAGCTCCACAAGGATGCGTCTCACTTGCTGGTTACCCCCAGCTCAATCACAGGGGGATCAGCTTTGCAGAACAGGCCCTATTCAGCAGGCTGAGCTGCTGTTGTCCCCAGACGGCGATTGCAATGTGCTGCATTGGATCCACGCTAAATGGGACTGAAGGAGTTAAAAGATCCGGGGCATCTCCGTGAAGCCAGGGGCAGCTTGGCAAGGGTGCCAGGAGGACAGGGCATTTATAATCACAGCCAAAGGGACACTGATGCAGGCCTGAATGTCTGTCTCTCTAACCAGGCTGCAAGGACTGGCAAGGAATTACTAAGGTGCACAAAGGCTTGCCCATCTACGTACACATTATCCCAGACACGCAGGCAATCGCAGGCTGAGGGAATAGGGTTTTTAGCAGCCTATCAATCCAAGCTAATGCGATTCCCACCCTTCCTCCCTAGATCCTGCTGCTTTGCAAGGCAGCAGAATAAATCCTTCTGTGCAGCAAACTGTATCTTTGCATCTTATTCGTGAGGGACATTGGGACCAACCATAAACTTTATGAACATCATATTCTTTCAGGAAAGGAAATACAAGATAAAAGGGCTCAGAGTTTCTGCGCATAAGGATTTATGGGAGAGCAGTTAGAGCCGGGTTTCTTGCAGGCATCGGGGCTTTTCACTCCCGGCATGCTGCCGCCAGACAGTTATCCCTTCCCCGTTTGGCTGCAGTGGAGGGAAGAGCAGAAAAGGCCGATTTAAAAATTCATTGAGAACGAGTGCTTCCTCTGCTTGACTGCACATAAAATGGCTGTGAGAAAAGGCACTCGGGTCCCGGTCTCCAGCCAAACTGTAATCAGCAGAAGAGCTTTGCGGGGCTTTCGATCTAGCCCCAGGAGCAGGCCCTACCTGAGGAAGCAGGGGTGTGACAAAAAACCCACGCCAAAGAGAAGCGCACTTTGATTAATAGATTTGAAAGGAGGAACATAGCCCCGCCGAATAATTGGCCCTTGGGGAATCGAGGTTGCCATTGCCCACCCCAGCCCCTGCACTGGGGAACAAGCTTCCCTCATCTCTCCGGTGGGGCACATTTTTGGTCTACAAGGACATCTGGGGAAAGGGCAGCCTGTCCCCTCTGTGCTAAAGAGAGCAGAGTAAACCCGAGCCGTATTGTTTGTGGAAGGCTTAGGTGTGCTCTGAGGCACCGGGCCAAAGAGGGAAGGAAAACAGTGCGGTAATCCGGGTTTGTTTAAAAGAACCACAGGTTGGTGCATATCTGTAGCTCATTGCTCTATAAGCTATGTTCACGGCAGCATTTTCCATTACCCCTTTGCATCCGCTGAGCACCTGGCCAGAACTCCGTATCTATGGGCAGATCAATAGCGATGTCTGTCCAGGTAGCTTCAAATTAATAGGTCTCTTTTATTTTTCTTTCCGTTCTATTTAAACACAAACAGCTCCCTCAAGTGTATAAAACCCAGACTGCGCAGCACAGGGTTCGGCACATCAGCACTGGCAATCGACTGCCTACGAAAGGGAAGCCGCCTGCTTTGGTTTTGCGGTCGGAGCTGAATTCAAATGAATTAACAAACAGCCTAAAAGAGAGGCAGCGAACTCAGTGTTTAAAACCATGGTTTTCTCTTTAAGGCTGGGCTTGGCAAACTGGGGTATGCAGGGGATGTCTCGAACGTATGCATAGGGACAGAACAGGAAAGGCAAGGAGAAATGCAGAGCAGCTACAATATTTTCTAGGTACAGGAGAAATTGCAGTGACCCAGAAAATGTTACTTGTTACAGCAGCATAACAGGCTTCTTTAAAAGTGGGGTGCTTGGCTCCAAGTCTGTTGAGAGCCACTAATCTGAACTATTGCTGTTAACCAGCTAAAATTAACATTTTGGTATGTAGTGCAGGGGAAGATGCTGTCTATCTGTCTCCTTCCCTCCCTCTTTCTTTTTATCCCCATTGTATAAAATCAGAGCGCTGAGAATTTTGCCTTGGAAGGGACTGAGTAGATAGCTATTGAGGATTTAAGGATTTGTCCTACATGATTTAGTTTTAATCATGCTTATTCTAGGGTCACACGTAAATAATGTAAACTGTTTTCACTTGTACTCAGAGTGCTGTCAGGCGTGAATCAGTCGAAACACAGCGGTTAAGCACAGGTGCCCACCGCTGCCCTCTGCCGTCCAAAATCAATACCTTTTCTACCTTTCGGGCAACTCTTGTGAGAGCAGTCATAGATCCACATGCATTCATGTCGACAATAATTAGTATTTTCAACACTTTCAAACCTTTCCCCCTTCTGCTGGTTTTGTGTGGGATTGGTGCCTCTAAATGCAGATTGGCAAAACACTTGTGCACTTGTGCGAGCTAGTTGGCAATCGCAGAGTTTTTGCAGGCTCTGCTCAGAAAATGTTTGTGATATTTTGCAAAATCGCGGGTGCAAATTCACAAAACACGTTGGTTTTCCGACAAGCCAAAGTACAAACATTTTCAAAATGTGGTCAAAAAATGGTGGAGTAGTTTTTTGTCACCCTGTTTTCACACTATCTGTAATTCCCACCTGTAGAGTTATTTTATTTTTTACATGCATTGTTTTTCTCTTGGGGGCAGGTAACGACCCCTTAAAGTAAAGCAAGCAGTATGAAAAGTGCTATTTGATTTTAATTGATGGTGTTTTTAGTGACCCAAATATCTGTTGGCACTCGAGACAACTCAAGCAAAGGAAAGGATTTATTTCAAGGGTTTTGTGCTTGAGAGGAGCGAAGAGAAGGTGGGAGCGACTCCGTGAGCACTCCTGGTAACACTGATATGGTCAGAATGACTGAGCTGCTTGAGAAAGCAGGGGAATTAAAAGAGCCCACTCCACTTCATACGGCTATTGTCTGAGTTTGGCTTGAGTGTAAACAGTAAGTCTTATTCCCCCACTTTTTCCTGACGCACACGGGGATGTGCTGGTCACTATTAGTACAGGCATGTTATTTTTGTAACAGTTCCCCAGCCCTGGCATGTCCCTAAGGCGGTAAGTACTGCGTCAGGATTGCATTTTGTTCTCGGGCCCCCAAGAAGGGTTGTGATAACTCCACTGAAAAACAAATGCAGGAGAGAAACTTTGAAGAGCAAAATAATTTACAACAATGGATGCAACTCAAGCAAGCCTATTGAAGAGCTCATTGCTATTTGGAGAGGCGACATATGGAAACATTAATTCTTCCTCGCCTAGAAAACGTTCCTATTCATGGGTCAGCATTGCTCCTTCGGTGCCAGCACAGCCCGGTCAATGCCGTTCTGCTGTGCATGGTGATAAGAGCAGGAAAAGGAAAACTTTTGGTTAAGAAACCTTTGGTATTTTATTATTCTAGTGGACGGGGGAAGCTTTTTTCCCTCCAGGTTGGATTTATTCTTTCACCTTCTCATCTCCTGCCCCTGTAGCGATGCCTGTAAATTCACTCAATCCAGTTCATCCAGTCCTCAGACACCTGAGTTCAAGTGCCCTCTCAGTCAGTGATTTAATTATCCCTGAAAGAACAGGAAGAAAGTATTAAAAGCACTTGAGCTTTGACTTCTCTGTTTTTTCAAGCCAGGGAGCCTGGGAGATGCGGAGCCCATTGACTAATGCTCTTGTATTATGATGATGCAGATAATGAATAACACTGAGAGAAAATCGGTGCGTGTCATCCTTACTTTCAGTGCGATGCCAGACTTCAGAGAGGAAGGATGGCTCAGTCATGAGAGCACCGGGGATGTGAGAGACCTCGCTTAAATCTCTGCTCTGCCAGAGACTTTCTGCGTGACCTCAGACAAGTCCTTTGAGGCACGTCTGCTGCACCCACCGACTGGACCGTGCCGTGCTGCTCTACATGTGCTACCTCCCCAGCTGAATGCGGCCTTGCTGCTGCCACATGCCATAGGTTAAACTGTCCCAGCACCGTGGGAGCGCAGCTACATTGCTTTGGGGGGGGGGGGGGGGGGGGGGGG